TTAGTTTTTCTTTGTTTCTGAAAACCTTTTTATTTTTTCAAATGTCAACCAACTGTAAAACCTTTTTTTACAAAGGACATGATATAAAGATTACAAATGTCTACATTTTAGTCAATTTTTATCGAGAAAAAATCATATTTTATAAGTTGCCCTGTATTTATTCGGAGCGATTTATCACCGGCGGTATGCAAAAATGGGGCTTTTTCGCCTTGTGGTCAGAATAATGAATATTTACAAGGGCGATTTTTTCGCACAGAACTAAGATGCGAGCATGTTTTTTACCCAATTAGGAGCCCTGGCAATTGGGCCTGTTGGCTAGCAACACCCACTTTAAAGTGACTCATTCTGCAATATTAATTTAAGAGTTGAACTAAGCAAAAAATCTGTAATGGGATTTTAAAACAGATTTTTCGACCGAGGGCACCATTTCTTTTTATGTAAATGTAAACATTTGTGATTCCCTCGTGAATGTTAAAATTTGGTCTCCCCAAAACCAGATGTTCGCCTTTTAACCACTCATGATACTCATCACATTACTGAGAACAGCATCGTGTTTTTTATCGTTGCCATTATTATTACAAAAAACAAATACGACGAAATGGAGCTATTTATAAAACACGCTGCATTTTCATTTCTGAAAGTTAAATATCTAGTGGCAAACTGGAACAGGCAATTTCTAAATTATTTTATGTACGGTTATAAAAATTGGAAACAGTGTTTATAAAGGTGAACAAAAAGTATGGGAGCAAGCGGTTTTTTCATTCAGTAAATAGTAATTAAAGTGCTATAAAAATGTAGTCGTGTTTTGAGAATGCAATTATAAAACTTATAAAATATGATTTTTTCTCGATGAAAATTGACTAAAATGTAGATATTTATTTGTAATCCTTATATCATGTCCTTTGTAAAAAAAGGTTTTACAGTTGGTTGACATTCGAAAAAATAAAAAGGTTTTCAGAAACAAACAAAAACTTTTAAAAATTGTATTCTTGTGGAACGTCACATTTTTATAATATGTTATCATTCATCAATTGTTTTTTCCGAAAAAATAATAATAATTTAAGCCAGTTAGTTCCATACTTTTTGTTCACCTGGTATAAAAATCGCATCGAAAATCAGATTATTTTCGACATATGACGTTTAAAGGGCTTTAAATGTGTGATCATATCGCCTCTTTGACTTTGAAATTAAATTGGCAATACTGAAAAATACAGTGGAAGAAGATATAAAGCCTGTCAATTTTCCTATATTTTGCCTCAGTTTTTCAATGTTGCCAATTAAATTTAAGTCATAGGCCACTTTAATTGAACGCATGGTATCTTACAATTTCGGTTTTCACATCTTTTTTAAATTTTTTGYTATGAATTTGATTTTGATAAATCGATAAATTGAATATTTTTATAGTGGCACACAAACTCCGTGGTACGTTGTTAAAAGTATACAGATTTTGTAACCTCTTTTCTTTATTGTAATTTTTTTTCTCGTAAAATATCTTTAAAAAATTCTACTTTTATAATTTACTTTAAGTAATCCTTTCATGATGAGTAACTATTTTTGTATCTACCTTAAGTAAATAATATGTAAGTATTTGAATTTTCAAAAAATATTTATAAAAAAATTATCTGGCAGTGATATGACAACACTGCGTTAATTTTAATTGTCGTTATGGGAACAATGTTTATTCACTACGTTATGCGATTTTTTTTTATCAAAATTGCGCTTTAAGTATGTATTTTTTTTTATTAAATGAGGAGCAGACTTTCACAAAGCAATTTGTCCAAATTTGAATTTTTGTAGGAGAGAACAAAAACTATCCTTCTTTTAAGATATAATTTTAATTTTTTATATCAGTGACAACAAATGTGAAAAAATAGGTACAAATTGGACACAATTAGACACTAATTTTACGGCTGAAGTACTTACGCATTTTACAAAAAAACTTTAAAAACTTTTATTTCAATTCATAAAAACATGGACAAATTGCATTTTGCAAGTCTGCTCCTCAAATATAAAGTAGTTAGTTCTAATCCTTAGATTATAACCTTAATGAGGAAAATGGTTTTATAGTGGGTTGCCACATAAAAAAATAAAAATTTTTGTCGAACTCAAAAACAAAACAAAAATTCGAAAAATTGTATTCTTGATAGAACATCATATTTTCATATTACTTTATCATTCATTACATAATTAGCTTTTTCAAAAAATAGTTTTAGCAAAAAACGTTTGGTTCCATACTTTTTATTTCTCCACCACCTTTCATTGAATTGAAAACCCCGTATTTTTAAATATTGCAACTTTTTTATTTAAATGACACCTGATAAATTTCATACTTACATATTATTTAATGGTGCCAACTTAATTTTAGAATCATAGACTTTGCTGATCAAAAATTTAATTGAATTCAAAGTTTTTTTACAATTTTTTCATTTTTGTGATATTTTTAAATCGATAAACTGTGGTATTTGTATTAAAAGAAATAGAACTGAAAATTTCAATTTTCTCCTAAATAGCTCACAAATTCTTTTTTTTTTTCTCTCCAAGCAGAAAACTAAAATTTTTGCCCTGAGTTAGTTTTATTTTACTTTGCCTCTCACGTCGCGCCTCATTAGCAGTAGCACCTAGTGCCCCATCAGCAATCGAGTGCTAATAAACCACTCCGCTGCAAACAAAACAAACCCCTGAAACCGACCGAAATTTCAATAGATTCCGTTCTAGTCTTAACTAGCGATAAGAGGATCGAAATTAAAATCGTTTGTAATATGCAATCGCGTATGAATCACCCCGTCATCATTAAAATCCCTCTTTATATTATGTACTAGACGCACACATGTGTGCTTGTCGGTTCATTGGAACCCAAATAAAACTCCAACCACCCCTCCTCTCTCACTCAACTCACAATTCGCAATTAATTCCGATGACTAAATCACATGCGACGAAAAAACCAGTTAATTAGAAAACGATTGACGTTATTGCTTTTTTCTACGATTTAAACCAGTTAAAGGGGATGCGCACCCTTGATCAAGAAGGCTACAGTTGTGTCTTAAAACCGACAATCAAGGGTGGCGGGCCGATGTTCGATTGTCATGGCCAGGACTCTTTGATCCGTTTTACACTTGCAAGGAATGTGAGGAGTCACGTGTCAAAAGCGTGCCAATCGCTTTGTACATGAGTCACTAGATGAGTCAAATTTGTAATTAATTAGGGTTACTATAACTTGCAAAATGACACTCTGTTATTCAAAGGGCTTGGTATGAACGTAAAAATATTTATTACAGCTTAAATCTAAACAAAACGAAATGTATTAATTATTTTGAAACTTCATTGTGTTTTCTCATTGCCATAATCCGGAATTTGATTGGTAACTTTCCCTTGTCATTTAGATAACTTTTAAGAGAATTGAACGTTAGTGTGACACATTTCTCGTCCCGGAATAAGTCTTCAGCCTTTACGACATCGTTTTCACAAACTTCGGTCACTTTGAACTTCCTGATTGGTCCATTACTAATCTCAAACTCGTAGTAGTAGTTCTTGGCTTGTTTTTTGGGCCCTATGAACTGGAACACCCAAAAAACCCTCTGCTGACTCACATCAACCATAAACTTGTACCAAAAATACTGAGCCCCGTTAAAAAACGAAATAATTTTAACGTCTTTGAAGTCTTTATCAAGATTTACGTCCATATCAGTCTGCATTTTATACTCCATGTCACTCCCATGTACTTGTTTGAAGTGTTGTTCCAAATCGGTGTAATTCCCAAACCATTCGCACTTCCATTTGGCGAATTTGCGACCTTCGCACAAAAACTTCCGATTTTTGCACTCGACTTCATGGTCGGCCTTCTCGGTCGGAAGAAGCATGTATTTGCAGCCTTTATCGGCGAAAAAACACGGACTTTTCAAATCTTTCGGCATATTTTCGATGATTTGCTCCAATTGGTAATTACGGGTTTTGGAAATCGGGCCTCTGCACTGTGGACAACTTGTGACCAAGTTGTCTTTGATGCAATCACCGCACATGCTGTGGCCCGTTTGGCACTGAATTATCGGTTTTGTCATCGTGTCGAGGCAAATGGGGCACATTATGACGCGGTCCAGTTGGTGGGCCATTTTCTGGAAAAGAAATTTTGAATTTGGCGCCTTTTCATGGTGAGTCCCCGTCTTACAAGATAAAAAACAAACAACTAATTGATGTTTGACACAACGTTTTTTGCCAATTAATCGATAATTTGACTTACTCTGACACTTTGATTTGACTTGAATTCAACTTTTTCTAGTCGTGTGAATAAAATAAAGACGACTTTGTCTCAGAAACCGCTTACACAGCCACTTACTTATTAATTTTTTGATACGCAAACGCATTATAGTTGGTGTATTGTTGGTTGCATATGCGTTAGAGAAAAAATTGCATTTGTTCTAAAATTCACTTATCTCACCCCATGTTCACCCTCCATTGAAATCAATGGAATTTATCAATAGGCGATAAGCCCAAATAATAGGACCGGATGACGAGAATTTGAATCATGGTTCAGACAAACGTCTTATTATGCACATCCACCCTAATTCCACCCCACTGAATTATCGGTTATGGACTGTTAGTCCCAATGACCCATTGAATGGGGTGAGTGTTGCCCTCATCTGTTCAAACAAAACACTATCGGGTTTTGTGTGACTATTGTTTCTCGTCAAGGTCGCACGAGAAGGGATGAAATCAGGGATTTAAACATGTTTCTGGAGCTTTTTCGAACTCGGCGGTGCTTCCCACACACAACACTTGTCTCAGATTTTATTTATACAGTGTGCGCTAGAACTCGCGCCCTGGAGATAAATGGAATTAATTTGGAATTAAATTAAACTGAAAAAAATGGAATTACGATAGATTATTGAAATTGCTGCAATTTTTTTGGAATTGGAATTAGTTATACACATTTCTTTCAAGTCATCGGCCCCTTATTTATAAGCGTTATTATGACTTCATTGCTTACAAAGTATCCTGATTATTCTATTCATTTACTTGCTTATTATAGTTTTGCTCTTTACTCTCGATTTGAATACATTTACGGATAAACTAATATATGTTATTTGTAAAAGTGAGTTTATGCGGCTTAGCTGAATTATTTGCCTCACTACGTTCGGCTTCGTCACATAGACTGTCACTTTTACTTCATAGTATTTTCAAAATGAAAGGTTTTATTCTTAAAAAAGTTGATTTCAAGCTATTTCAAAAATGTTGACTTTGCAAAATTATTCTTTCTACAGGGTGCGCCAGAACACGCGCCCCAGAGAAAAATGCCATGTAAGATAAGACAAGGGCAGATCTAGGGGAGGGGCCCAGGGGGCCAGCCCCCCCCCCAAACTTGCCACCAAAAGCTTCAATATTTTATATTTAAATTTTAATATAAAAACCTTATGACCTAAAGTTTTTTAAATAAAAACATGAGAATTCTTTTTAAATCACACTTATTAATACAAATCATACATATACCGAGAGATCAAAATAATTTGTAATCATTTTTGGATCCGAAAACGTACAGTTCGGAATTAAAATTTCGGGCAGTACTGTCATTTTCATAATGTAAACTCTAAACCAACCTTTATATTAATAACCTCATTTTTTACTCTTGTCGTATTTATGTCATTTTGACTTATTTACTTTCAAAAATAGTGATTTGTGGCATAATAACGGGTAGGCAGCAGATCTTAATAAATTTCCTAAGACAGACAAATTGTTTAATTAACAAATTTAACAACAAATAAAAATAAATTTAATTGTTAAATTTCAGTCATGATGACAGTAAAAAGTAGTTTACATTGAACTTTTTAAAGTGACAGAAAAATAGGTACTACCCGAATTTTTAATTCCCCAACTGTACGTATGTCTGTTTTGGAACTAACTATACGTGAAACGTCAAATAAAATGACAAGTCGAAAACGGAAAAATATGCTGGAATTAGTCGCTGTCGTATAATAATAAGACCGGGTTTTTTTAGGGTAAATCATAAATTTAGTTATCTTTTTGATCTTGGGATTTTACCTTTTCACTTGTCATTTTATTTGACGTGTCACAGGACATACGTTTTCGGATACAAGGACAAATTATCTTGATCTCTCGATACTTCCTTAGTTTTTACTAATTTAAAAAAAAATCATCAATTGTAATTTTCTTTGGGCCACATCTTAGGTATCTAATTAAATTAAGTTTATATCTCTTTGAATAATGAACTTTACCAACTCGCTAGAACACCTTATACACAATTTTCAACTTGTTTTAAAATTCTACACTTTTTGGTTTTTGGGTATTGACGGCAGCGACATTTTTTTTTAATGGAAACTCCTATTTTTTTAGCGGATTCGATAGATAATTGTCGAAATGGCAACACCAAAATATTATGTATTACATAAAGTTTAAAAAAAAAATATCCAAAAAGTGAAATAATATCAATAAAAAACATAGATACAATTTTAAATCAAGTTAAAAATTTTGTATTTGTTAAAAAGAAAATTGACCTGTTCGAGCAAAATATCTTCAGTTTTAATAAATAAGATTATTCTATAATTTTGCCGTTCACTGTATACCTACCCTCATCATTTAAAAAATTTTTAGATAGCCCCCCCCCAAAATTAATTCCTGGATCCGCCCCTGAGGTAAGATACCAGAAACATAGAAAATATGTTTAAAAATTCTATCTATAAAAACTTCGAAGTTATGAGAGTTTAAATTTTGCACTTTGACTTTATTTATTTTTGTTGGGAAAATAATTTTCCAATTTCTCAAGAAAAATTATTAGTTTCAAAAATTATTAGTTTGGGTCGTAGAAAAAATTATATGTATTGCACTAGAGAAAAATGTTTTTTCCTCCCTGGGTAGTTACTACCCGAGGCTTGTTTTGTGGGAGGAAAAGATTCATTTCCCTTCCTTGTAATACAAATAACTATTGATTTTCGTAATTACATCATGATTAAGAAATGAAAACTTGAGAGTTTTTAGTTGATCTTGATCGAATCTGTTATGGGAATATTTCCCGCGTTTGCACTTGTTGCGAATTGCCGATGAGACGAAATAAAGCTCAAGAACAATTTATTTCGCGATAGCAATAATAAGGAAGCGCCCGGTAAAGTGATGTTTTCCGGTTTTTCCTCATTCATCACGCAGATAGCGTCAGGTAATGGAAAAATCGTCCGATATCATCTATTGGATTCGATTCTTTTTTTAAATCGTCGTTATCCCCCATTCTCTCGTTCGTAGTCGATTATTTATTTCCTCTTAGACAAAATAAAATTAAGGGGCAATTAAGCGAGTTAAATTTTTGTTCCGAAATTAATGTACTATAACCTGAACAATTTATTTCGGTAAAGTTTCCAAGTGTTGGTCCCCTGTTTCACTGTGCTCGAACCATAATGTCAGCTATCATCCCTAACTCAATTATGTCCTCCCAAGACGGCGTCTGTTTAAAATTCCCACCCTATTAACTGGATACTAAGATGGCTCACCTTAGATTAGCTAGATGAGAAATCATCCATTAGATTCAGAACGTATTTATGCCAGATTTGCTCTCTGACAGGCACATTTCACTCCAGACAATAGAGCTACCAAAACCCATGCATACATGAATAATCTGGACTTTGGGCAATTAAAAATTTAAGATTTCGCCTAAATCTCTCTATTTAAGATAATTTATGAATATTTTTAATATTCTAAGTACATTGAAAAATAATACTATTAAAAAAATAAAAACAAAAAATGAAGATAAGCGCTTTTCATGGCTCACAAAACCGACTTCTCTAAAACTTCTTCACAGGTATTGTTCCTTCTCAACTTTTTCTTCGATCTGATACAGATTAACAAACCGATAAATGAATTTTAGAGCTTGAAAACTAGTGCGTCATCTTTATGAAACAAAGAACTGAGAGTGAGACCAGAAAAACATGAAGAAGTACGCAATTTTCTTTATCTACTTTAATGCAAAATTAACAGAAAGATGTACTTTTTATAAGAAATTGTGTTTAAATAAAACAGGTTATTAATTTTAATACTAAAATTGTAGTTTTACTCTCGTATTTAGGCATTTTTGCCCAGTAGAAATTCTAACCTCAAAATTTCAACAACAATTTATTGTTGTTTTCTTCCACTCACATGAGCTTACTATAACCCCTTGGCTGTTTTTTCATTAAAAAATCCAGAAGAATGTTGCGATGTTTGCATTTAGTACGAAAAGTTAGCATTTTTGCTAATGTTTTAATTCCGAGGGCATTTCAGCAACGCTTTTCGGTGAATTTGTGGGCTGGTCTTTCGAGGAATCATGTGGTTTGTCAATAATATCAACTAATTTCAACATAACCTGACTCCCTTTCTAAAAAGTACATTTTTCTGTTAATTTTGCATTAAAGTAAATAAAGAAACTTGCGTACTTCTTCATGTTTTTCTGGTCTCTCACTCTCACTTGCTTCTTTGTTTCATAAGGATAATGCACAAGTTTTCAAGCTCTAAAATTCATTTATCGGTTTGTTAATCTGTATCAGATCGAAGAAAAAGTTGAGAAGGAACAATACCTGTGAAGAAGTTTTAGAGAAGTCGGTTCATCAGGAGTTTCACGAAAGTTTTAAAATAATTTTTGATAATTGTTGATAATAATTAACGATTCTGTCTCATTATACTCGTGTACAACCTCTTCTGCGAGAAAAATACCAAAAACTAGCAAGTTATGTCACCCACATCACGATAAATGTCAAACGCAAAATTACAGTAGACCAGCTATTTTTTAAAATTCTGGCCAAATTGGTATTATTTTCGTCACCTAGCAACCGATATAATTTTTCAATCACGCCTTGAGGTGCCCTTCTGGGATTGGTGGATTTAAGAGTCGACTAACTTTCTTATGCAAGCAAAAATTACTTCTTCGGCTGCACTTTTTGTCAACCTATTGCCGCCGGCATTTGACATTTTTCTCTGGGGCGCGAGTTCTGGCGCACCCTGTATTTACAGAAAATTTTTGTTTTAAAAATGAATATTCTATCTCCTGTTTAAATTTGTAACAATAAAAAGTATTAAAAATTTATTGTTTTGTTACTTTTGTGAGTTAATTTGTATTTTTTTATGTTTAATTAGAATCTCTTATTTGAATTTAAAATAAAAACGTGTACTTAGAGATTTTTGCTTTTTAATCCGCCTTCTTTCATTTCATTCATTTTCATGGACCAACAAGAAACCCCACCCGAAATAAAATCCTGGTTACGGCCCTGTAAACCACACTTCACCACTTTTGTTCACTTCTGTTGCAAAAAAAGTAACTTGGCATGAAAAAATAACATTTCATCGTTTTCTCCTGAGTAGATTTGTATTTTAAAAA